ATCTCTCTTCTGGATGGGTGGGCATGAAGAGGTGCCTGAGGGGGCCTTGTCTACAGCAGACTAGTTTTCCCATTCGTTTAATGCTGCTCTGGGTGGATTTTGTGCAAAATCTGTATTGAATACAAGTGAAATTTTCAGTGAAAGTTACTTTATTTAATAAGCCTCTAAAAGAATTAGGCCAAGCCTAACAGCTTTTCCACATTCAGAGAGGAAAGTTTTGAACAGCCCCTTTCCCTGGCCTGGGACCTCAGCCATGACTGCTCACACCATCTTGCAATATGTAGCAGTTCAACCATCAGAGAGCATAAGCTTCCTCTGATTTCCCTGCTAGGAGCTGCTGTCAGTGTTTTTCCTCTTTCATCTCTGTAGAGAGGATGATAGCATATCTTCAGTTTAAAGTTTAGCAATTAATTTAGGGAAAGGAAATGGAAATCTTGATTTTTTTGAAAATTACTTCTGGAATGAATTTGCATGTGAACTGATTTACAATCTGGTATAACTGTAAGAGCAAGAAATGAAAAATACATTTCATCTTAATTTTTAGCTATTTCAGCTGTTGCCAACGAAATCACTATGTCCTACAGTGTTTTTCCATATCTTGTAGAAAAGAAGAGCATGAATGCAATCATTTGCATGTTACTCCTCTGTAGTTATAGTTGGCTTTAAAGTACATCAAGGCAGCTGATCATAGTCTCACTGATGAAGTAATTATTGATTTACTGATCTAGTATCTATAAAACCTAAATGAATCTACTCATTTTTGAGAGTAAGTACACAAAATTAAATCTAATCAATTGTATAAAAGGCATCCCTTGGGTGGTGAATCTGGTTTGAGGGCATCCATCGTGGTGGATAGAATTGCTGAAAAGAACGGTTCTGAAGAGAACAACTGATTTTGCAGCTCCAGTATTTATGAGTCTTAGTCAAGAGCAGAGTCAAGATATGATAATTCATTTTGTGATAGTCAGAATTAAGTTGAAACAAATCCAGAATCATGTAATGGCTGTCTGGTATCTCGTAGGTCTCACAGCAGTGCTCTGACCACCAGGTGAGAAGTTGCAAAATTCACCTTTTGCTTTCCTCTGCTAAGAATTTAATTGAAAAAAACCCTGTCTTTTTCTGCAGAAAACATTTGGCATCAGCTAAATGAAATCTTCAAAGAAAGAAAAGAAAAAAAGGCAGTCAGGAGTATTTGACGTTAACCTTAGTTTTTTTAGTACTATAGGATTTTGATAACTTTTGAATGACAACAGCTATCCCAATAGATAGATAATTATAGCATACTGGACTTGTTTTTTAATAATCTAGAAATAATGTAATTAGTTTCTTTGATTCATTGCATCGGTTTGTTGGGGTTTTTTAAGTAAGAACTTCCAATTGCAGGGTTTTCTTTAAAGATAGTTATTTTTTTATGGGAAAAAAAAATTAAAAACAAGTGTGAGGTACTGATACAGAGCATCAGATAAGGAAAAATTTGATTTGTGGCCAATTCATTTATAGACATAAAACACTTCTCTCAAAGTACAGTAACATCTTCTGTGAAGGAAGAATAATTAAATTATACATCTCAGCTTAATGTAAAAGTCCCTCAGCTGAGCAATATCATATGAAAAGTGCTTCCCAGAACTCTTGAAATAGTATTTTTTAAAGTATTTGTACTTACAAGGTATCTTTTGAGATACAGAAAGGTAAATAAAAAGCTTTTGTCTTCACTTATGAGCTTAGTGTCCCTCTTCATCTCAGCAACTGACTGCCCTGTGAGATCCCCCCAGCAATGGGAAAAGGCTTGGATGAGAGTCCCCCAGGTGAGGAGTGCTGTGCTCTGGCACAGCCATTCACAGGAGGGCAGCTGCAGAGAACACACCAAGTTTCTCACCCTCCCTCTTCTTCTTCCCACCTCTCCGTACAGTCCACATGGATTTCAAAGGATGGTTCCAGCAGAAAGATGTGATCAGGGAGGCACTCATGCAAAATCAGTGATGGTATTCTCTCATCTGAGGACTTTTTTTTTTTTAAATCCATCTCTCCTCATTAGCCAGGGAAGAAGAATGAGCACTGATAAATGTGGTTTCTGCTTATTTGATAGTTAAAAAACTTTGTGTTCAAAAGGGATGAGGGCAGCAGATTAGAAGCCATATGCAATTCAAGGACTTAGTTAAGAAGAAGAAATATTCATTGCCAATTCCCCAGAGAAACCTTCCTTCTGTTCCATTGTACTAGAGAAGGATATCCCAAGTGATGCCCTTATGTCCCAGCTGTTATTTACTAGCAGAGGGAGAGTGGCTCATTACAGGGATTTACACCTTGGGCATTTTTCTGGGCTAAGTGGAAGTGTGCTTTTTGAGTCCAAAATTGTATCTTAAAACAAACTTCTAGTGCAATTTTTTCCAAAATAGATTTTAGTGGTTTAAACTGATTAAAAATAATAGACCCTATATATCCAAGGCATATATCATACTGTACTTTAAAGATACAGCAAATGGAAGAAAAGATGTGAGAAATTACACAATTCAATTTTAGAAAATGTTGCTATATTTCCTACCTTTTTTCTCTTAATCTTTTTTCTTCTGAAATTAATATTAGAACTTGGCATTAATCTTGATAAAGTATGTGGTGATACAAACATTTTTACTAATTTTTACTGCTGTCTTACTATCATGGTTCCGTTCGTAATTTCTTAGAAATTTCCCAGTGTGCTGGCTCTTCAAACACAGTTACATCTGGGTTTTGTAGCAATGATAGATTCTTTTGCCTTTTTTTTTTTTTTTTAAATACTGACTTGTAAAACATCCCTAAGGAATAGTAATAAGAGTAGATTATTTTCAGATCATGTAGAATGCCTTTCAGCTTTTGTCCTCTCGCTCTTATTTTTGTGATTTTTTAGATTTCCTTCATTTAGTCTTCAACATGTTGGAGGTTTGTTTTGAATTATTTTCTTGGTCCATCGGCCTAGTCAGTATGCATGCCTTAGTTCTTTAATGTATGGTTTTAATTTATGTTGGGACCAAACACTATGGAATGCTTTTCTTTTTAATGCTGAGAAATGGAAAAGGCAGTTGAATTTAGTGATTTAGGCTGTGATCAGGCATGGCTCTCCTGCCTATGAAGACTTTGGATTTCTGATGTTTCAAGTTCTGAACCTTTTAAAAGTAGGAAATCATACATTGTTTTTAAACAGTGGGAAATAGGATCTAAATTATTCTTTAACAAGTAAATATGAATACATTTTATTTACCAAATTGAGAGACTAGACAATTTGGATGTAAAGTGTAAAAAGGCAAGTAAAATGTTGAATTAATTGTTTTCTCTCAATTCATGATGCTACATATTTGCAGAAAGATGTAGTTTTCTGTTATTTCTAGCCTTCATAATGCAGTGTCTTTCTCATGTAAAATTTATACTAGACATCGTTCAGTTGTACTACGTTTGACTTCACTGCTGCAGACCTTGCCACTGTAATATGGTAAATAATGCATGCCAAGTAACGTGAACTGAGATCTCCTTGTTCAGGTAGGCTGCCTGTGCAAACCTGAGGTTTCGTACCTTCACCGATGCTCTTCACCTTGATTGCACCACCTTGACTTTTGTCAGCTATTGCCTTTCATAGCTCTAGCCTCTTTTATTCCTTCTATTTTTCAGATTGCTTTTTTAGCGGTTCAGTTAGTACTTAGGCTTGGATCCTTTCTCCTCTTTGCCCTTTCCATTCTTCCTTTATACCCATTACTAATTTCTGGTCCACACTTAATTTCAAACTTGTGTTTATACACAGGTTTTAAATCCACCTCTCTACTTCTAATCCTTCTTCTTGTCCTGTCTCCCACATCTCATTCTTTTGCTATTTATTCTGTAAACACAAAACTCATGCCAGATTACTCAGTACCTTTACTTGAAAACTCATGTTATGTCAGAGTTGGTGGTGTCATCATATTCATCCATGTCAGGATCATCTGTTACACCACTTTTGGCTTTTCACTGTTTTGGGCCCTGAACACGCAGGATGTTTTTAAAAACAAACAAATGCAATGCAGGTGTGGATTAATGGTACAAGGCTCTGACTGTGAAGTACCTGGGATACAGATATTCAAGAGCAGCAAAACATTCTTCCAAATGAGTGTCACTGAGGAATTTGGGCTCAGAATATGTATGTAAAACAGGAGAGGCACAAAGGAGTATCCTGTCATTTTTAGTTGACAGGTAGCATCTCATTCTGCCAATCTGTCACCAGGAATCTTTGCTGTTTTCTTAAAGAGGAGGAAAGTAGGAGCTTGGAGGTCAGAGAATGATCTGACATAGTTTAAAGAGTCCACAGAGCTATTGGAGCTGTAGTTACTCTGGGCTGGTTGGGACTGTAGCATTGCCTGGGCTTGTCCTGCCTCCTGCAAACACTGTATGCCAGGGTCCTGGAATGCATCCTTGAAGGACCACACTATGGGTATGGAAGGCAGGAGTCTTTGAAAGTGTTGGTACTGCACTGCTCCTTCTGTCAAAGAAGTTATGTTCAGCCCTGGGTCTTTTACCTAAAAGAAAGGACTGGGAAGTGAATGAAACTTCTTACGGTCTTTATATAAAGAAGAGCATTCTAGCATCTGCAGTGGCTATGGGATGAAGATGAAGATTGCTGTACTCCTACCTTAAACCTTTCTGTGAGATGCAGCAGATTCCTCTATATGTTCTTGAATGCTTTCCAAAATGTCTTCACGTTCAAAGTTGTATGTTGTCTTCTAGGGGCCAGTAGTCCCTGAGTCCCTTGGTACACAGGGAGAATAGCAGTTCTGCAGAAGCAGAGCATTGCTGGAAGCCTCCTGGCAGTAGTGCCAGGCTCAGGCTGGCCTCACCTCTGCAGCTAATCAGGTTGTCAACCTCTGGATTTCGGTGTGGAATTGTGTTTGCAGGTCACAGAATTTTGTTTTTGAAAGCATCATCAGCGGTAGGTTTACAGCACGTTAGAGTTTCTTTAGAGTATTTTCTCTCTTTACCTTTTTTTTCTTTTGATGTTGCAGGAAATATTCAGGAAGTCATTTTACAAGAACACTTGGAAAAAGAAGATGAAATTCTGGTTTCCTTGGCTGGTTTGAAGCAGGTACTGCTATTGCTTATCTTAACCTTCTTGTGCCCTTCAGGGCTATTCATCCTTTCTGTTTTTTCTCCTATTTTATTCTTTTTGTATACTGCTGTTTTGTCTTTTTGTATACTGCTGTTTTGTCTTTTTGTACCTGTTTTACTAGGGCATCAAACATTGTGGTGTACTTTTATTTATGAAGGTAAAGTTCAGCTATAAACAGTTTAAATTAGTTGCTTGGTATTTGCTCCCATGGAAGTTTTGGAGGCCTTGAACCAGAACTGAGGAAGTGCAACCCTGAGTGCTGGACTTAAGCCACACTATCATCTTTCTTAATGCAAAATGTACTTGCTAGGCAGTAACCGTGCCTATGTCCCCATTATTTAAATGTGACGACACTTGAATGTCATCGAATTAAAGAAAAAATACTACATACATAAAATGAGGATGCTGCTAAGCATCTGCAGCTCTGATTATACTGTCCTCTGCTCTCAAGATACATTTTATGAGGAAAAGTGTGACCTATGTTAAACGTATAATGAGATAGGGAACGATCTTAACAGTTTCATTCTCCTTAGGTTTCTTGGATTGTTGTTTTCCAGATTCTAATACAACCACATTTAACTGTTATGAATATTGACTTGCTTCCTCTCTTTTCAAAGCAAATGTTTTGGGAAAATGGTTAGTGAAAGCATTCTGCACAGAGCTTTAGAAAATACGGAATTCCTCCAAAATTTTAACTTACATCCTTTCCCCTCCCATTCAAAACAGATCAAGGATATCCTGAAGGGTTCATTGCGTTTCAACCAGAGCCAGCTGGAAGCTGAAGAAAATGAGCAAATCACTATTGCTGATGATCATTACTGTTCTAACAGTCAGAACAAGGGGGCAGGTGATGTCTTAAAGGGACCTGTTATAACAAAGCAACAGTTCATCTCAGGACAACAGGTAAGACAAAAACATCTCAAGCAGGCCTTTGGTGGCCTTCCATTTTTTGGAGACTTCCTCTTGCATGTCCAGACATTACGTGGGACACACCAGCATTCCTGGTGCATATGGAGAGTGGTTAAAAGTGTATCTTTAGCCAGTATGCTACTCCCATCAATTATTTTTATTGTAGCCTTATGCTCCACACATGGATATTTAAGTGTTAGGTGGTGTTTTGGGGGGAGTTCCTCTGTCACACTGTTTAATCACAAAATCAGAGATTAATTTCCTACAAAAGATGTAAAAACTGCAGGTAAATGTTCCCATACCAAATGTTCCCACATGATTATTCTCATTGTCCTTGTACTCCAGGATCCCATTATGTAAGAGCTGATTACCTGCATTGCAGTGTATTCATGGCCAGGGCCAAAAAGGAAGTAGCAAGGAGGTTGCTTTTAGCTTCTACTCCATTTTATTGACTTTCTCCTTGAATCAGTAAACAGTGTTTTCACAGACAAAGCATGCAGTCATAGGACAAGTTCATGTATTTTCCTTTGATACTGAAAGGTCCTTCTCTAAGACTCAGTCTGACTCAAATGAGATCTTAAAAAAAATTACTTTTTTATATGCTTATTTCAGTATTGGAGTTAAGTCTGCCACCCTACTGCTGAAACTCACACTTGTAAATCAGTAGCAGCACTATTACCTCAAAGTCTAACTGAGCCTGCCATCAGTTTGCTTTCAACAAGTTTACTTAGGAACTGCAGGAAATATTTATTCATTTTCAAGATAATGACACAGGGTCATTTTGATTTATTACACGCAATCCCCCTGAGTTAGAACACTCTATGTTAAAAAACATATTGTAATTGTATTTCAGTATTAGAAGCAATATTGAGATTTATTTTTTTATACTTAGTAATGGCACCTTCAAAGAACAAAGCTTTGGTAGAAAACTTTCCTTGCTTGTTTAGCTGTTGTCATTACAATCACTACTTCCTGCCATAATTAAGCAATAGGTTGAACTGATGTGGCATATTGGAATGTTCATGTAATGACCTCCTATTTCTGTCCTTTATCTCCTGGCATGTTATACAAAGTACCTTTGGCTTTCTTCCCAAAATGGCAAATAATGTTTTTCTGATGATTTTTTACTTCTACAAACTGGAAGGTAGAATGGCATATAACATGACAGCATGCTGTATGCGTGTGTGCAGACCCTACTCATGCTCGAGAAGCCCTTGCTCAGAGGCTGGTCTGAACCATTTATCATGGGTGTGCTGGAGATTTGCACTTTGGGTATTGGGAGTGGAGCAGGTGAAGCCTGATCTCCACAGGTTTCTTCCCAATGGAAACTTTTGGGGTGATGTACAGTGAGGTTTGGTCTTATCCCAGCGTGTAGTCAGGAACTGAGTGGCATCTGTAGGTCCTCCTATCTTCTGGAAGTTCCAATTATGATAATGAGAAACAGCCCCTTTGACAGAAAGAAAAAGATTAGAATTAGACATGGCAGTCCAGGAGGACTGTTGGTATACCTAGTTAGTTCGGGATAGTTTGTCTGTCTGTCTCACTCTCCCCTAGTTAGTCTGTGCTGTTTCTGAGCCCGTCATCTTCAGATACCATGGCTAAAATGAAACAAAAAGAGGAGAGCTTTGGACCCCTTTTAATAAAAAACGTGAAAATAAAACTGCAGAATTTAGTGGACTTTGAAATTAGGCTGTTAATTGATGGGGTCAGTTGTTGGCCCAAACCAGGCCACGGCCCAGGCTTTTAGCTCTGCTGAAGAAAATGAGTTGCACTGGTGCCCTGGGTCTTGCTGGGAGTACCTACTGCGAGCTGAAGGGGGATTGAAAACAACCACTTCTACACCACTGAATGCATTTCTTGCTAAGTAAATTTTACTGTATTGGCATTTTCTGTGACTTTGGTAATGCATATAATTCTATTTGGTGTGATTTGTACTGTAGGGATTTTTCTGTGCTGCAATTATAGGGATATTTTCTAGGACAGCTGGAAAAGTTACAGGTGTAGCTATTCTGTAACTGAGATAAAATCTGGTCTTTTGTGCTTGGTTGTTATATAAGTATAAATTATCATTTTTGCTTTTTTTAAAGTGCTCTTCCTCTTTTTTGCCTCAAAAGCCCCTTCTGGAAAGCGAGGATAAGGATATAGCCCTTCTTTAGAAAGGAAAGCTGCAAAATTAAAAATGCAAAAAAAAAATTTAAGATAAAGGCTCAAAGAAAAGGAGCATTTTTTGGAATGTTTGGCTTTGGTAGCAGTATGCAGTTGACAAACAGAAGGCTTCTGTTGCTAAATAATGAATGATAATTAACACATTATCTTGCCTTTATGTCTGTTCAAAGGAGGAGGCAAAACGAGCTGCTGTTCTTCTAAGCTTTCTTAGAATTGTATCCTTGCAGTTAGTTTTAACTCCTTCACAGTGTGAAGGCAATTGAAATAAGCCTGGTCCTAGTAGCTGATATTCATCAGGAAAAATTGTTTGGAGAAGCCATATGGCAACGGGCGTAAGGTTGTTAACTTTCAAAGCTACTGGAAGTATAATTCTGTCATTTTTCATTTATTCAGTAGTGGCAGCAGATGGGAAAAAAACATGCTTCACGTCAGCATGAGTTTCCTGAAACAGAAACAGGCAGAAGAAAAAGGAAGGAGGTATTTTACCTCTGGAAATATCAGTACCAAAATACCAGTGTATGCCAGGGATAGGCAAACATTTTCAGGAGACCCTTTTATAGCATTTTGGAGTCAGTATCTCTGCTTTGCTGCTTCTCTGGTGCTTCAGTGAGATATAGGTCTCCTTAACCAGACCAAAAAGTGTGGGTAGCATGAAAAGTAGTGTTACAAAGCAACAACACTAACGAATTGGATGAGTATTTTCCTTCCTTTCTTTATTAAAGGAGAGGATGATTTTTTAACTGCACAAGAGTGCATTTTTGAAAGCAGAATTCAGGAAATTGCAACAGCAGTACAAAGTGTTTATGATGGAGGGCCCTTGCTGAGTGTCATTGCCAAAGGCAAGACACCCTGTTATCTTTGGGGGTGCCGGCGAGGAAAATACTGGTCTTGATGAGCAAGTCTGTCACGAGGTCAGAACTGTTGTTACCCTACACAAGGTGGAGCCGTCTTGGGTGTGAGGACTTAAATAGAGTATTCTTGATAGCTTGGAATAATAAAGTGTATAATTTGGCAAAATGAGACTGTACTGCATTCCCTGAGAGCATGGTGAGACACTGGAACAGGTTTCCCCGAGAGGTGTGGATGCCCCATCCCTGGAAACTTTGAAGGTCAGGTTGCATGGGGTTCTGAGCAACCTGATCTAGTTGAAGATGTCCCTGTACCTTGCTGTGGGAAATGGACTATGTGACCTTTAAAGGTCCTTCCAACCCAAACTATTTTCTGATTCTATTTTGATGGAGCAGAGCCACGGTTGTGTGCTGCCTGTGTCCTCACCCCCTGGAGATGACAGCTGACTGACTGACAGCTCATGAAGACAGCATTTCAAGCAGACAAGATGAAAGCAAATGGCTAATTAACAACAAATGATGTCTCAGCTCAGAAGTGTTTAAATAGTGAAGTATCTCTGTAGGATAGATCTGTTTGTTTTTAACTTCATGGAAACTGCTTGAAGTTTTTGGTATTTGAACTACTCTGGTTCTGTGTGGATCAGGAAGTTTTGAGATCAATTTTGATAGCACTCAGCAATGGCTAGTTGTTGATATTTCTAAAAGAAATCTGCTGGGTTTTGTATGAATTTTATTAAGTCATCTCAGGAAAATGAGTTTGTATCAAAAAATAATAGGTGTAAATTTCTATCAGTGTGATTACTGTCTTCCGCTGGGACTTGTAAAATTAAAACAAATACCTTGGACTTAAGATGTTTCCATTTGAATTGCAAAGTATTAAAATGAGTTGATTACAAAACAGAATACTATATATTATTATAGTAGAATAATATTAATAATATAATTCTAAGCTTTCTTAGAATTGTATCCTTGCAGTTAGTTTTAACTCATTCAGTGTGAAGGCAACTGAAATAAACCTGTTCTACTTCTACTCAAAACTACTTCTAATTACTACAGAAAAGCAATATAATTACTGAAAATCTTCACAACTGTAATGTATGTGTTTGATACTTAGCTGCTGTGATCACTACATGGGTGCACTGTTATGATGAGACATGTAAGACTGCTGTACCCAATAAAGTATTTTTAGAGTGTTCCATTTTATGCTTTGTAAATAACAAATAAATTATGCCATCTGAAGTTAATATCCGCTTTATTTTTTACTTTATTTGGACATTGCTACTTTTGGATAATAACTATAAATAATATATATAATACCATAAAAGTCATTATTTGGTAAAATTGGTACATACTTTAAGTCCTTTCTGTGCTGTTGTCTCACAGACTACGACTGACTCGAGCACTAGTGAGAGCAAGAGTGCTGATGACTATATTATGGTTTCCAAAGAAGAGGAAGGAAGTAAAAGCACTGTTCCTGGGCCAGTGCAGTCCCTTCAGGCGCACAAGGAGTCGGTGGTGAAGCCAGAAGCTCCGTCTCGTTCTTCTTTGATATTCTCTGACCCACTGATGGGTTCCATTTCGGCCTCCTCCAGCAACCTGAGCTCCAGCCCTGATGACGACAGTAGTAACAACAGCAAAGATTCTGACTTTGCTATTGTCAGCCCACTGGACATCTAAAGAAACAGGTTGGGAGAGTTTTGGAAGTCAGTCATTACAACTCAATTCAAATTCCTATGATTCCACGGGCTGGATATTTCTTTGGATTAGAAGGGCAGAAAATAGATAGAGGTAACCCATTTCAGCTGCCAAAAGCCTAAATTAAAATTTAAAAAAAAAAAAAGGCAACACAAATTTGCCCTTTTCAAAAATAATATACACCTTTTAATAACTGCCTTAAATAAAGACTCAGTAAAACCCAGTTCTAATATACTGTTATTCTTAGTTATGCTGTTACATTACTTAAGAGCTTTTATGCATTAGAACTGTTGCTTTCCCAAAACATAGAATAGTATGTGCTAGGTACCATAATGGAAATGTGTAGATACTTGGCATCAGACCTGAAGCAGCAAAGACAAGCTAGATTTAATGTCATCCTTTTACAAAATATGCTTGACTGGGTATTCTGAGTAGGAAAAGGTACTGCTTCTTATGAGACTGTGATTGGAGAAGTAGGGAATGAATATCAGAAAGATTAAAAGGATCATCCTGGTAGTAAGTTTGTTCTCCCTTAAGGAATCCTAGTTTCTTCATTTTCATCCAGCATAGCCTGAGGTGTGTTCAAGGCAGAGGTTTGTGTAGTTGTTCCTCAGCGCTTACAGGAGGCTATGTGACAAACTCCTTGAGAATGGGAAGCTATACAAAAGAGCCTTATTTCCCTTTGTCTACTTTTTTTTCCCCTTGAGATTTCCCAGTTCTGCTCTTTTCCTTTTTATATTTGTCTACTTTTACTTCCTCTGGCATGAATTATTTTTTATTTTACTGAGACTACCACAGTTAAAACAGTAGGTGCAAGGGAAATAACAATATTTCATAGTGTAGACCTGAGCCAATTGAACTAAAACTAGCTTGAGTATAATAACTTTAACAGGGAAGGTTGCAAAGTGAAATGAAATGTTCATAATTAAAAGCACTTTATGTCTCATTGCTATTATGTTCTATCTTCTATAGACTCTGTTTACATATATACCTATAGAATTTCCATATTTCTAGTCAAGAAAACATAATGGTGCAGCAGCATTAACCAACAGAAAGTTTCTAATAAACTCTATAACTTGTTCTTTTATGGAAAAGTGTATTTCTTTCCCATCAAGTAGATAGTGCATTTCATAAGAGCTTTTTCAAGTAGATAAGGGGGTTTTTTGTGCTCTCTCTGATCCCTTTAACCTCTGTTGGAATTCAGAAAATTAAAACGGTGGTGAGTGGACACCTGCTCTTGCAGGGTCCACACAGAGCTAGCTTGAGGAAGGAAAGCTAGTATGTCACTCTGTAACAGCAGCAAAAAGAAAGTATTGTTTGCTTTGAAGATGCATATACATTATACTATGCAACAACTTCATAATTGCATGACAAAGCTTGTGTTTGTTCGAAGGTAAGAAATGGTAGTTATTTGCTGCTTAGTCTGTAATTGTAGGTGGAGTGAAGTACCATGTTCCAAAGATGAGGTGATGTGTAATTTGCTGATCTTGGATTTTACAAGGTCAGTGCCAGAGGCTGAACTGAGGAGTTAATTGTCATGTAATTACACGGTAGTTGCCATATCCTTACGTGTTCAAAAGCCGTCATGTAGTCCTTTGGAGATTATTTGTGCCTTGTAAAATGTTAAAATACTAGAATGTTATGAGCAGGCATAGCATCATACCTCTCTGCAACAGAGTGATGCGAACAGTCAGATGACTATTTAGATAAAAGATCTTAAATGCGTAACATTTATGAAAGGTGTTTATTTTGGTTTAGTTTTAAGCTTCATAGAAAATCACTGTGGAATTCAGCATGCATGCCTGTTTTCAAGTTTATTTTATTTCCCTGAGTTTGCATGAATGCCAGGGGATTAGGTGGCTGTTGATTTATTTAGGTCTTTCAAGCTTTTCTAGCCTTAACCCATTACGCAAGGCTTGTACCACACCACCAAAAAAAGGAGAATCTGTTCAAAAGGTACCTGTGGAAAGAGGAAAAAATACTCTGGGGACAGAGAAAAAAGTTCTTTTTTCAGTGATACATAAACCTTCAAAGATTCCAGTACTTTGGCAGGAGAAAATGTTTTTACTTCTTTTTTATTTTTTTAAGCATCTGTCTTTTATTTTCTATTCTAGTTGGTTGTTTCAGGGATCACATTTGCTGTTTTCTTGAACAGTCTCATTGCCAACGGAAGAGTGTGATTTGTACAGGTTTTTTATTTTTGTAAGTTAGTTGTATCTTTAATATTGCATATTTTAAAACAGCGGTAAAAGTCTATAAAGATTTTGGGAGTTTCCAATAAGTTTTCTTTGATCAGTGAATACCGATGAGCTGAATGCGTATCATGCCATGGGACATGATAAAAATCTTCCAACACAGAGAGATGATTATACAAATAAGAACAGAGCATCTTCCAGTAAATGAATGTGCTTTGGCTGTACCATGTCCTTCCACATCTCAAATATGTTGTCTCTGATACTTGATCATGGTGCAGAGATAGTTAGAATTTTAGTATATTCATCAAGTTAGAAACTTCTAAGTTAGATAAAATGTCAAATCATTGTCCTGTCTTGTGTTATGTTAAGAATATACTGAGAGAGAAATTGTCATTTAAAACATGAGATTATTCTTTTTCCTCAAAAATGACCTGTTCATAATGCTCATGGATAACAATAATGAGATAGAAAAATTACATGCATTGCAAATTACCGATGAAAACTAATAAGGCATGAAGATATGTATCTGAGACTGTTGTACTGTATCTCACATCTGTAATTTATTACATTAAAGTCCCGTGCTTGTCATGTCAGTTGTATGTACTGCAGAAAGGCAGTATCATATTTTGATTGGGTTTTGATTTAGCGGTGGAGCTTTGCACCTTTACTCTGGAAGAACATCTAGCCCGCTTTATTAAAGGAAGAATTAACAAAGTTTCTGGGCTGCGCTTGTGCTGTTTTCTCAAAAAAAGAGGGAAAGCTTTTTGGCTGGAATACTGGAAGTATGATTTCCGAGAGCTAGGGTGATTAAAAACTTCAGAACTATCAATATAAGCACAAAGTTTATTAGTAGTTTAGTCTGATTTTATATATGTGATCCAGGGAATAAAACTGCTTGTCATTTATCTCAACTAAACAGTATAGAATATTTCCTATTTTACCGTATTTCTTGTATCTGAAAATAACAAACCAGAATTTAACATGGTGTAACTTTTCTGCAATTTCATAAAACTCGATATAGTTTCATCGTTGTGTCTCAGTCACAGTGCCTGTTTCTGTACAGTGCTTACCTGAATCTCAGTACTTTATTCCACCTTCTTAACTGTTTCCCATGATTCTCCAGTGTGTTCTCATTAGGTGGCACTGAGGCAACTATTTAAAAGATTACATTTCAGATTTAAGGTGTACTTGTGCCTGGCAGTTACCATGTCATCTGTTCAAATACAGACACAGCAATCCTAACATGAACAGATTTCCAAGTTCTGGGTGTCAGCCCTTAAATAGTACTTCTGATTTTGTGCTGCATGTGTTGGTCTTGAATGAATGATTCTAATGTTTTATTAGACTTGAAAAGGTGCAATTTCATAAAATAAACTTCCACTTGACTACGGAATAGTAATTACAATGTCTCAGAATCTGTGCTGTTCTTTTGGGAGTGATTATATACAGTCTCTGCATTGGTGTTTCCTGTGTCACTGAATCTGCTATGCTCCAGCTTCAGCAGTTAGCTAAATTTAGAGATGAAAGAGCATGAAAGAAGGTCATCAGAGAAACAGCAACTTCAAGTGTGCACACAGGCAACTTGTTTGCCTGCTTCTCACAACATATTCAACCCCTACGATGGTAAGGGAGGTTTTAGGTACGTGGGAGGATTCTGCAAGAGGCAAAAGGCATAACCCTAGAAACAGACAATGAACCAGAAGGTCTGCAGCTTGAGACTCTCTTAAACTATGGGTTCTTTAGGGCAGGAACCATCTTCTTCTCTGTTTGTACAGACCTTCTAGCATAGTTCACCATGATCACAAACACTGTCAAGATGGTGACAATGATAATAGTAGTTATAATAATAATAATAATACACAGATTATTTCACCAGGTTTTGCTCTTTCAAACAGCAAGCTAGATTTAATTCAGTAACAGTAACTCAGCTGATAGCAGTAGTGTGGTAGCAGAGAAATTCGGTCCCACGCTGCTAAAATAAGTGCAGCTAAGGAGCAGTCACTTAAATAAATAAATTAAAAGCAAAGAAACCCCACACGAGAAACAGGACAAAATTACTGCCAAATACAAAAAGCTGTATTTCTTTCCAGACATATATGAACAGAAGAACTGTTTTCTAAACTGTGCTTCAGGTAGACCTTGTTTGACTGCATCAGGTAGGTTTGTGCAAACCTATCTTTTTTTTTAGCTTGCAAAAGCCTAGCTGATGCAAGGATGAGGGAAGCATTAAAATATGTCAGCTGCAGAGAGAAGACATTGTGGTTCCATTTTCTGTGAATGGTAAGAATGTGATCTTTCAAATCCCACTGATTTAACACTTTCACTGTCCTCCATGGTGACAACATGAAAAACCCTGTAATCATTTCCAGAGACCTGATGGGAACTCTGCTGCTTAAATCATCACATGCAGTCGTAGAGCTTTGAGATGAGAAAGTTTTCACAGCTTTGCCTTTGACCGTGAGCTTCAGGGACTGAGTAACTCATACAAAGAGGCATTCAAAGATACTACAAATTATCGTGTCAGTATTTGAGACCTTTTGGAATATAAATGGCTACGTAATTTTGAGATGTAAGAATAGCTGTCACAATATCTTTACTTCCCACCTGCTGTGTTAGTTGAATTCAGTGGATGGGGAATATAGTAGCATTTTCAGAGTATCATTAAATTGCCCTTTAAAATAAGAGAGAATATAAAACAAACAGATATTAAAAGGCAGATTGTCAGAGGTGTCATATAGCTTACTGGATAATATATACCTCTGTGCAATACTCAGGAACATGTATAATTTTTATCCTTAAATGGGGGGACTTGCAACATGCTGAAACACATGGCAAAAAAAGTAAGTAAACATGAGCCTGTTCTTAAAACCATTCCTAAAGCTCCAAGGATAAAAATACAGCAAAAATATAAAAAAAAAAAAGTTTAAATACACACAAAACTTAATTAGGCTTGCAAAGCTTATCAGGTATCAATAAAGTTTCATCTACTTTAGAGAAGTTATATGGAACTCCAGCCTCCAGGTAATAGCACAGTGTGAGTTACAGAAGCACCTAAAGGTGACAGATTGGGACCACATTCAACTTGTACTTCAGACCAGTAACTTTCAAAACCTGGAGAAAATTAATTCCAGTATATAAGCAATGAATTGCACATGTTTACTACGTTGTAAAGAAGTTGTGATGGGAGAGCCCCTCAGCAGACCCTCTTTCCAAACTTCTTTTGTTCTCATTTCCCACAGTCAAGCCCATCTGGCACTTTTGTGATACCAGGCATAACCCATAAAAACTTCAGCTGTTTAGTCTTCTTAAATAACTGAATTCTCAGTCACTGTGATCAAAGTTAGCTGTTCATCATCTGAGGATTCCAATACCCTATGCCTGCAGCCTGGCCACCAGCCCAAGCAGTGTGCTTCTTGTTCTCATGTAAAATCTGAAATCTTATGAAAATCTCACAATACTTACACAGCAGGTGGTATCCATATTCAGTCCTCATGACTTCCCTGTGGTAAGCTTTATTGTAAGTTTTATTGCCTAATATTTTCTCTATCCATACTTCCGTTATAATCTGTACAATCAAGAAAAAAATTGAAGCATCTTGGCTTGGCTCAAAAATGCTTTGTTTTTTCTTTCCTCCCTCTCCTGGTAAAGTATCTTTGCTAAGGATTTTTAGTTCTTCTACTTGAAAAACAGCCTATGTGTACTTAAACCGCTTGTGAGGTGAAGTTCTGATATGTGTTGTCTTAAAAATGCTGAAACAAGACATTGATTTCTCCAAACCTTTTCCTGTACTAGGGGGGGCTTGAGTTAAGCATCAGCTTTGAAAATGAATGGGAATAGTGTGTATTTTCAATCTCTAGAAAACAGCACATTTTGGTAAAAGCACTGGACCACATCTGGGCAAATAATACACTACAGAACTATGCCCTTTTGCTTTAAAAGGAAATTTAAAATTCACTACTCCCCCTGGTCAGACCACAGAGATGGCCTCAGGCCCAGGAGGTCTGTGTAGTGTGGTAGTGGAACTTGTGTGTGTCCCCAGGAGGGACCACAACTCTGTTTGGGGCAGGGTGCTCGTTTGTGCTTGGGGGAAATGTGGGACACCCAAGGCCACGCCACACCGGTGTGTGCCCTTGAGTGTGGAGCGTGGGAGGCTCATCCTTGTGCAAGGGCCGTGGGCTGCAGTGTTGATGGAAAGATGGATCAAAAGATGAAAATCAGTATTTGTTACCTTTCATGGATCTTTAAGCTTCAGAGTAAATAAAAATGGGAAAGCAATTGCTAAGCATCATTAACCATGCTGGCATTGCAGCCATTGCAATGTGCTTTCTTCAGTATTTTCTTTCTGTGGGATGCAAATTTTGCATCATAAAGTGGCTTGTAGCAGAAAAGAAAAAAATCTCCTTTTTCATGTTTGGACACTTTTGCTGTATGTGAATATTATGGGGTTTTTAAGAAATGTTATTATTGTTATGCGTCCACAGAGAGATTGCAACAACCTCTCTTCTCCATGTATCAGACATATTGAAGTAAGCAAAAGAAAAGAGAGAGAAACAGCATCTTTAAAATTCTTGTAATCTAAGTGTTGAGTTTTTTACTTATGTTTGGTAGCTTGCACCAAGTAGAAAACCAGCATCTATTAAGACATGTTGGAGAGGAAAAAACATCTACAATTTTTCATCTGTGTGAGCACAGGACTCTCTGTTTTGCCAGTGCTTATTAAGGGGCATTTAACCTTATTGAATAAAGGTATATGATGAATATGGCTTCTGCAGATTTTTATTTTTTTTTTTGAGAAAGAAAATCAGTACATGCTTTTTGCGTATAAGATTTACTGTTGTTTTCTAAAATCTTTCATTCTCTGTAAATATGTTTTTGGGCTGCTTCTGTGAGATATGTCAAGACTTTGTTTTCCCTGTCTTCCTATCTGTGCCCTGGCATGTGTACAACCTGCAGAACCATCTCATCTCCCCACCTCTGCCTACCCCAGGGTGGGATTTACGAGAGGTCAAGTTGCAACTCATTTGGGGAAAACCACACCAAATGATGTGAGGGTACAACACAAATCACAGCCTGACCCGAATTAGCAAGTCACACCTTGCCAGAAAACATTTGTTGGTTCTCTGGCCTTGCAAAGCCACAAGCATACCAAAAGTTACAGGCTGTTGAGGAGTCGGGCCTTTTATTAAGGGTAAGCATTCATAGGAAGCAATCTGCATGATAAAGCGATGTACCATTATTTGAGACTAAATTATCCTTTACCTTCACAATCAGAAAAGATAACTTTCAGCAACTTTATGAAATGCACAGCAAAGGCATCATAAGTACAGAGAAGCTGCCAAAAATTCTGTCATTTCGTGAGCCTTTGTTGTCAATGCACACTGTGGATGCCACCACGATCAAGATAAATACAGGTACTGGGCACTGGTGATAAAAATACAAACTTCAATGTCTGCTGAAAAAAGGCTGGTGAGGCCACATAGAAGCATCAGGTAGGAGACAGGTGAGTTCAACAAACTGTGAAATATCACCCCCTTCCTTCAAAAAGAAATCATAAAAGTTTCAAGTATACTGTTTTGATATTTTCTTAGGTAAAATCGCCACCTGGTTCAAAATCACTTCATTTGGAAATTTTATGTAATGCTTTACAGAGAGTATAACATGTAAAATATATACAAAACATATACAAGTAATTATTTCAGTTCATGACATTTTAAAATTCCTTCATCAAATCAGTGATTTTTGGATGGAGGGGAGCTTATCTTCAGTGGGAAATAAAATCTACATCAGGCAGGTGGGCCTGCAGTGCTGCGGGATGCTCCTTGAGAACAGAGCCAGACAAGTTTGGAATTGATATATACTTAAATTGAAAGTGGAGCTTGGCAGCTTACGCTCACAACCAGGCCTGGCATTTTGTGCTGCTGGCTGCTGGATGTAGAAGGATTCTGACCCGAAAACCTCACTCCCCTAGGAGAGCCAGTGAGCAGCACAGTCAGGGGTAGTTCATACACTGAGGCGAACGAAGCTGGCTTTTTACATGCCCCGCCATCTGTATGGCAGACTGGGATGCTGTATCAATATCGAAACCATGTGTTTCGATAGCTGTGTGATTGGTATTCACCATATTTTGGATGAAAGGACATTAGGTTAACCCACGGTTATAGCAGTGTGCTGGGAAATGTCCTCCCTAACCTTATCACGCATGCAGAGCCACCCTGGGGAGAGGTAAATCCACATTTTCAGAGCCTGCAGTTCATACAGACACCCAGCCTGCTTGGATCAGACAATCCTGAATGTAAATCAGCACACTTCTACTGATGCCCACAGTCACAGCAGCTTATTCAGATCAGATTCAATTTCTTTTTTCCTCCAACATCTTGTGGCCTAGATAACCACGGGCAT